AAGAATGGGGTGAGAGAGGGAGTGGGAGACTGGATGTTTGCGGGTGGGAGGGAGGTTATGGGGGGGAAGCTGCAACAATTCAAAAGCTGTACTTTGGAAATTTATATTTATTAAATAAAAAAATTATAAAAGATACTCACTGAAAGAGCAGATACTCCATTAATCTACAGTTAAAAGCCATCACAGGGGGAAAAAAAAAAGTGTCTCCAGAAATACCAAAAAATGAATGCAGCAACTGAAGAAACAAGAATAAGGATGACAACATGATGCTTTCAAAGGAACACAATACTTTAATACTAGAATGTGAAAATAAAGAGATTGAAGAAATGCCAGAAACTGAATTCAAAAGAATCGATCATAGGATTACTTAAAGATAACTGAAAATGAATCTTGACGAATGGGATGGGAGAGGGTGTGGGAGATGGGATGGATGAGGGTGGGAGGGAAGTTATGGGGGGAAAAGCTGCTATAATTCAAAAGTTGTACTTTGGAAATTTATATGTATTAAATAAAAGTTCAAAAAAAGAAGTAATCAGAAGCAAATCCATGAATTAAAGAAATCCACGGGTTGGTGCTGTGGCATAGCAGGTAAGCAACAGTCTGCAGTGCTGGCATCCCATATGGGCGTTGATTTGAGACCCAGGAGATCTACTTCCAATATAGCTCTCTGCTATGACTTGGGAAAGCAGTAGAAGACGACCCAAATTCTTGGGCCCTGTACCTGCATGGGAGACCCAGAAGAAGCTCCTGGCTCCTGACTCCTGGCTCCTGGCTCCTGGCTCCAGATGGGCCCAGCTCTGGCTATTGCGGCCATTTGGGGAGTGAACCAGCAGATGGAAGATCTCTCTCTCTCTCTCTCTCTCTCTCTCTCCCCCCCCCCCGCCTCTGCTTCTCTGTAGCTCTTCCTTTCAAATAAATGAATCTTTAAAAAAAAAAAAAAAGAAATCCATACATGACTTAAAGGAATATTTTCCCATGAAATTGAGATTTTAAAGAGAAATAAAAATTAAATATTGAAGTATTCAAAAGATCAAATAAAAAATGTAATGGGAAAGCCTTGGCCATCCTCCACTGCCTTCCCAGGCCACAGCAGAGAGCTGGACTGGAAGAGGAGCAACCGGGACAGAATCCAGCACCCCCGACCAGGACTAGAACCCCAGGATGCCAGCGCCACAGCAGAGGATTAGCCTAGTGAACCGTGGCGCCTTCCCCACTGGCTGTTGTCTTATGCCCTAATACACGTTTCACTGGTAAATCACAAACTCTTCTGATTAAAGGTGACTGAAAACAGAGATCAAGTAGGAAGATATCCTGAAGCTAGCCACATAAGGGAGAAAATTTTACTTCATTCATCAAATATTTATTAAGTGCTTATTCTCACCGAGCCCATGCAAAGTGTGGGCCTGATAAAGAGAATACAGTACTTGCTCTCAGAGAAGTGACAACTTGTGCATATCAAAGGTGAGCAATGGTTGAGGATGGCAGAGATATACTTCTCAAACTATTCAAAACAATTGAAATGGAGAGAATCCTCCCAAACTCCTCTATGAGGAGTTAATTCAAAATCACCTTAATTCAAAATCAGAAAAAGATACAACAGAGAAAGAGGATTCTAGACAAATATTCTTGAAGAACATCGATGCAAAAATGCTCAATAAAATGCTAGCTAATCGAATCCAACAACACATAGGAATTATTCACCCATACCAAGTGGGTGCAAATCAATAAATGTGATGCATCGCCTTAACAAACTGAAGAATAAAAAAATATGACTATCTCAATATGTGCAGAGAAAGCATTTGATAAAATACATCACTTAATAATGAAAACCTTAAAAAAAACTTATTATAGAAGGAACATTCCTCAACACAATCAACACAATATATGACAAATCCACAGCCAGCATCATACTGAACGGGGAAAACTTGGAAGCATTTCCAATTAAGATCCAGAACCAGACAAGGGTGACAGCTATCACCACTTCTATTCAATATGATCCTGGAAGTTTTAGCGAGAGCCATTAGGCAAGAAAAAGAAAGCAAAGGGATACAAATTGGAAAAGAGGAAGTCAAATTATCCCTGTTTGCAGATGATGTGATCCTATATAGAGAGGAATCAAAATATTTCATTGGGGACTATTGGATTTGTAAGAGAGTTTTGTACACTTGTGGGCTATAAAATTAACACTAAGAAACCAATAGTCTTTAATTCCAAAACTAGAAAAAGACATTCTTTGCACATCAAAAAAAAGATGCTAAAATTCATACAGAAACACAAGAGACCTCTTATGAACCAAAATCAAAGCCAGAAGCATCACAATATCTAATTTAAAGACATACTAAATGGCAGTTATAATCAAAACAGCCTGGTACTGGCACAAAAACAGTCTTGTAGATGAATGTAACAGAATAGAAACTCCAGAAATCAACCCATGCATCTACAATCCTCTTACCTTTGATATAGGAGTTAAAATCAATCCCTGGAGCAAGAACAGTCCCTTTAACAAACAGTGCAGGGAAAACTTGATCTCCACGCATAAAACTATGAAACTATACCCCTACTTTAAACTGTACACAAAAATCCACTCAAAATGAATCAAAGCAGGCTGGTGCTGTGGCACAGCAGGTAAACTGTAGCCTGGAGTGCCAGCATCCCATATGGGTGCTGGTTCGAGTCCCAGCTGCTCCACTTCCAATCCAGCTCCCTACCAATAGCCTGGGAAACCAGTATAGAATGGCCTGAGTGGGTCCCTGCACCTGCATGAGAAACCCAGAAGAAACACCTGGCTCCTGGCTTCAGATCAGCCCACTCCAGCTGTTGCAGCCACTTGGGCAGTGAGTGAACCAGTGGATGGAAGACCTCTTTCTCTCTTTGTCTCTGTCTCACCTCTGTAACTGACTTTCAAGTAAATAAATAAATCTTAAAAAATGAATCAAAGACCTAAATCCATCACCTGACACCATCAAATATTAGAGAACATTGGGAAAACTCTGCAACAGAATCGCATATGCAGTCTTGGAAAAAAATCTCAAAAAAGATCCCAGAAGCATAGGCCATGAAATCAAAGCCAAAATTGACAAATGGGATTACATCAATCTGAGAAGCTTCTGCACTACAAAAGAAACATTCAGCAAAATAAAGAGGTGACTGACAGAATGGGAGAAATTATTCACAAACTACACAACTTTGATAAAGGGTTAACATCCAGGATCTATAAATAGCTCAAGAAATTTAACAATAAAACAAACAATCCAGTTAAGGAATGAGCAAAGGTCTTGAACAAGAATATCTCAAAGAAATTCAAATGACCAACAGACACATGAAAAAATGTTCAAGATCACTAGCCATTAGGGAAATGCAAATCAAAACCACAATGAGGTTTCACCTTTCTCCAGTTAGAATGGCCCTCATATAGAAATCAGCAAATGACAAATGTTGGTGAGGATGTGGAGAAAAAGGTACCCTAATCCACTGTTGGTGGGAATATAAACTGGCACGGCCACTGTGGAAGTCAGTATGGAGATACCTCAGAAATCTGAATATAGACCTACCATATGACCCTGCCATCCCGCTCCTGGGAATTTACCCAAACCCAAAGACATCAGCATATGAGAGTTATTTGTACTTCTGTGTTCACTGCAGTACAATTCACAATAGCTAAGATATGGAATCAATCAAGATGTCCATCAACTGATGACTGGAAAAAAATATTATGGTATATATAAGCTGTAAAAAAAAAATGAAATCCTGTCTTTTGTAACAAGATGGCCACAACTCGAAACTATTATACTCAGTGAAATAAGCAAGCCTAAAAAAGACAGATATCATATATTTTCCCTGATCTGAGGTAACTAATAGAGTACCTGAAATGTAATGTATTGGCGTGAAACAGACATTTTGAGAACTTATTTTTTTTTATAGCCCTTGTCTCTTCCGTTGAGAAACAGTGTTTGCTTTATTTTGTTTTTCTCTTCATACTATTGCTGAACTCCTTTACTTAGAATAGGGTTAACTATATGATCGTTAAGTATACTGAAAATCAAGAGTGGGAATCTGAGAGGGAGTGGGAGGAAGCATTGGAGCATGGGAGGGAGGGAGGTTTGGGGCAGCAGGGAAGTGACACTATGTTCCTAAATCTGTATATATGAAATATATTAAAGTTGTATAACTTAAAATTTTAAAAAATACAGAGTACAAAACATTAATGTATATGAGTGAAATAGATATTCTGAGATTTGAGTACTGTTTATATTATTGAGGAATAGTGGTATTCCTACTTAATATTTGCTGAATTCTTTATTTGGTGTAGGGTTAAGCTTTAGGTTATAAAATACATTGAAAGTATGTAACTGTAAAAATTAATAGAAAAAAGAATAGAAGAAAGAAGGAGGATGGGAGTGTGGGAAGTATCATTATGCCCTTAAATTTGTATATATGAAATACATGAAATTTTTTCACCTTAAAAAAATAAAGGTATCTAACCCTGCGGAAGTGGGGAATGTGGCCAGGAGGAACTGCCCTTCCACGGAGGTGGAAGGGTCGGTAGCCAACCCGGGAAGAACCAGCAGCAAACCCGGGGAGGGCCGAGCAGACAAAAGAACAGCGCAGGGTTCAGTGTTGCTCCTCCACGAAGAGGGGGAGCGACAATTCTGAACAGAAATTGATCACTGGGACTAGTGAGATGGCATTGGTACATTGAAAAGGGTGCTCCATCACTAGCTGTGGACCCATCCTTGAATAACATTCCCAAAACAAAGGGGTCTCTCTTTAATCTCCCTGTTTCTACTATTATTCAGTATAAGGCACAAGTGACATAAGTGAAATTTGTTTCATCACACAACCACACTAATTTGTTTGTTTGTTTTTATTGAAGCAAGACCTGGGCAGCCTACAAGTAAGTCTCCTTTCAATCTTATTATTACATTTATTTCTTATGAAATCTATTTAGAGGCTGATTTGTACCCTGTTGTGACTTAAGATTTGTATTTCTGATTCTATTTGCTAACTTTTTTCAGCATTAATCACCTTTTAGTTTGTTTTCCCTATTACTATTTCTACGTACTTATTCCATTTTCAACTATCGATGTCTATTTGGAGACTCCAATTGAAACTGATACCTGATTACTTGATGTGATGCTGTGATAATGTTTATCTGGTACTAATAATGTGCCTGGCACTGTACTCAAGGCTTTACGTGTGTGTGTGTGTGTGTGTGTGTGTGTGTGTAAGTATGTATGAGTGTCTATATGTACTTATGATAAATATTTCTATTCCCATTATATAAAGAAGAAAATTGTTGGACTCGGTAACTTGCCCATGATCACACATCTAAGCGCCAAGTCTACCTAACTGACTTTAAAGTCAAACAGTGCCTACATTCATCCAAATGGTCACCCAGCCATAATATATTTATGCTAATGGATCAAAAAGAAAAGTATTTCTATACTTAGCCTAAAAACACAATTATTAACAAAAAAAGAATTGTAGTATAATGATGATGATGAATCAACACAATCATTCCAAAGAAGTAAAAGGAAAGGACAGCATAAGAAGAAGGTAATAAACTCTTGGTGGTATAAAATGCTTTAGGAAAGTTTGAATTAACAAAAAGAAATCAGAAGAAAATAGCCTCTATCAATAATTCCACTCCTAATCTTTCTTTCCAAAAAGATACCCAAATTAAGAGGGGTTTTAATAGAATAATCTGAAGATATTTATCTTCCCACTATATTTGATTTTTTAAAAAAGTTATTCATTTATTTATTTGTTTATTTGAAGTCAGAATTACAGAGAGATAGAGCCAGAGACAAGAGAAGACAGAAAAAGAGATCTTCCATCCTTTGGTTCACTGCCCAGATAGCCACAACAGTCATTTTAGGTCACCCCACAAAGCTGGCAGGGGACCATATACTTGAGCCGTCTGCCACTGCTTTTCCCAGGCCATTAGCAGGAAGCTAGATCGAAGATGGAGCAGGTGGACACGAATTGGAGCCCATATGGGATGCCAGCATCACAGGTGGCAGCCATACCTATTATGCCATAATGTTGGCCCCTGATTGATTCTAGAAAGTTTGGTAGTCTCTCAAAGTTTTGTTTTTAAAATTTCAGCAGAAAGAGTTTGAGAATAATGTCTTCACATTCAAGAAACCTCTCATTTATTTGATTTCTTTTTCACACTAAAACAAGAGCCAAGTAAGTTTACTTTGTTTATATCAGTTCTGGGGTTGGCTCTTATTCTGATTATACAGTTCTCCAAACATTTAAGACCTTAACATTCAAGCTTTTCAATCTCTTTTGTTTTATATTGAATAGTTTCCTCTAAAGTTACCGATGAATATCTTAAAAAATAAAAGATCCACTGATGGCAAGTCAAATAATGAGCTAGCAAAAGGTGACCTGAAATTAGAGATACTTTTGAACATATTTTAAATCAGATTATTTAACTGACACATAACTGTACATGTTTTACAGGATACAGTATAATAATTCAATACACTTACATAATGTATAATAATAAAATCAGGATAATTAGCATTTCCATATCCTTAAATATAATCTCTTTGTATTGAAACCTACAAATTCTTCTCTTCTAGTTCTTTATAAAATATATAAAACATTGTTGTTAACTATAGTCATTTCACTGCTACAGAACATTTGAAATTATTCCTCCTATACAAAAATTTTAAAAAATTGTCACATGAGAAGTTATGTTATTTTATACTATATAAATGATTTTGGCAGAAAAATAAAACAGATGAAAGAAATGTAATTGAATTGGCAAAATTAAACTAATTCATATTTTACTCATTTAAAATGTAACAAAAGCCTACTCTATGCCAAAGAGTAGGATATAGCAAGAATCAAGACAGGAAAAGATACTGCTTTCCCAGAGTTTATATATAAATTTAAATATTCCTGATACGTTTCACATCAAGAGAGATTGAAGAGAACAGGAAGAAAAAGTGTTCCTCTCTCCCATTTCTGGAAATGGAATTCTTACATTTGACAGATAATGTTTAAGTAGCACATAAGAGTATATTTCTGTCCTCATTCACTGAAGATTATCGGTGTTCTGAAACACTGGAGATTTTCATGTTCTGAAAACTTAACATTATTGATATCTGCAATTGTAAGGAGACCTCTTTCTGTTTGTCATGTACATTATACATTTACTATGGGATTTCCCTTAAATGTAGTTGTTTCCATTTTTTTAAAGATTTTTTTTTTTTTTATTTGAAAGAGCTACAGAGAGGCAGAGACAGAGAGAGAGGTCTTCCATCCGCTGGTTCACTCCCCAGATGGCCGCAACAGCCGGAGCTGCTCCAATCCGAAGCCAGGAGCCAGGAGCTTCCTCAGCGTCTCCCATGTGGGCACAAGGGCCCAAGCACCTGAGCCATCCTCCGCTGTTATCCCAGGCCACAACAGAGAGCTGGATCAGAACCTGCGCCCATATGGGAGGCCAGGCCTTAACCCACTGCGCCACAGCGCCAGCCCCATTGTTTCCATTTTAAAAGAAATGTTGGCATTTATATTTCTTCATGCCTTCCTCCAATTACCAGAATTTCATTGCACTATTAAAAGAACTGCTAATAAAGATTAATGGAAAAATAAATGTTAGTTTTTTCTAGATAAATTGCCTATCTAAAAACAAACAAGACTTTGCACACTAAAAAAAAATCAGCAAAAATTCTATTATTGTTGTCAATACTATTGTGTCAACTCACCCTAATACTTTGTATTTGAATTTTAGCACATGCAGCAATACCTATCAGTAAGTTACTTTTTTTTCATTAATGTGGTACAGTTGATGCCCCAAAACATGGAGGAAAATTTTCTTAATTCTGACCCAAATCCCATTTAATGCTTGTATTTATAAATTCCCTCCCCCCCATCACTCAGCAATTTGCTGGGTTATTAATTACCCATTAAAAAATAATCATTTGACTAAGAGACTAAAAAAGAAGCGTTTTGTCTTCTTTAAAAAAATTTAAACAGCTTTTAATAACAAATGAAAAATTTTCCTTGCTACAAGAAGGAAAGCTACACAGAATGAGATATAACAAATGTGGAGATACCAAGAAGGAACAGAGATAAAATAGGAAAGAGAATAACTGCAATTAGCATTTAAATTGGCAATTGTATAAAAGTTCTATATAGTACTTAAACTCTCCTTAACCGGACCAGATAGAAAAAAAATGATCTAAGCATGTATGTATTAGTTACCTTTTGTCTTTGCAAAATTGAAATATACTATATAGAGCCACTCAAACCAGACTAGGACTATTGCTTTACCACAAAAGCATTAAGGTTAATCCCTCTTTTTCTATTGTACATATCTTTCCGGGAGAGGTTTAGAGTCTTCCAAAAATCTCTTTGTTAATCCCTTGAAAATAACAAGGAAAGAAACTATATTCTTAACCCAAAAATTCTGCTAATGTATTTTTGTTTCATATTGTCCTACCAGTTACACCAATACCTATCGGTAAGTCATTAATCATGTATTTCTTAGTTCTAGTGTCTTAAAAAATTTTTCCTGAAGTATTCTCATACATACTTCTGATCCCCTACCACCTCTAATTTTGTAGTATCCTTTTAAGTACTGACGAATTTAGAAACTACAATATATCCAAGGAGTCACATAAAATAATAATGAAATAAGGAATAAAGTATAAAATATTAAGAACCTGAGGTAGTATTTACAAACATAATAAGTGCTGGCCTTGTTCTGGTGAAATTTACATATTCATATATTACTGATCCCATTTAAATTAACCTGATTCTTTTAGAAAGCAAATTTTTGTTTAAGCTCATAATTTCATTTCTAGAGATAAGTTTTAGGGAAGAATTCTAAATATATAATAAAACTGCTTGCATGATGCTAATGGGTTATATAATGCAAAGGTAATAGATAATGGTAGTTGAGAAAGAAATCAGATGGATCAAAGTACAAATTCCAGCTAAAACAGCAACTATGTGACTTTGTAATTTATTTTTTAGTTTGTATTATCTCTATTCAGCATAATTTCTAATTACTTCCAAGCAAACAATTTATCATTTTCCTTCTTCTACATTATTGGAACAATGAATAATAACTTAATTATAAATTGACATAAAGCAGAAATCACTACTAAAAACAATGGTGAGGATTGGGCCAGGTAGAAGCCAGGAGCCAGGAGCTTCTTTCATGGTGAGGATTGGGCCAGGTAGAAGCCAGGAGCCAGGAGCTTCTTTCATGTCTTCCATGTGAGTGGCAGGAGTCCAAGCACCTGGGTCATCTTCTGCTTTTTCCAGGCCATTAGCAGGGAGGAAGATGGATTAAAAGTGAAGCAGCTGGGATGGGAACCAGTGTGGATATGGGGTGTTGGCATCACAGGTAGTGGCTTTACCAGCTATGCCACAGCACAAACCCCTGCTGACACTTTGACATATGAAAACCCTGAACCCTGAGAGTCAAATTGTTTTCCATCTCTTTTCTTCTGTATTTTCTAATATTCCTATAAGTTAAAAATAGTTTTATTTTTAAGTTTGTTGTTGTTGCCATTACCATTATTATTGTTTTGGTTTTTTGTTTCATTTGGTTTGGAGTTTCTTAGTCAACATTCACAGAAATAAAATAAATCACATGGAAAGGACTAAAAAATGTTCTTCTTGCTAGAGAATTACATTAGAAAAGAAAAACAAAGGGAAATCATGCGAGCAAAAGATATTGGAGTCAGATCACAGGAAAGACCACGGGAAAGAATACACTTAAGAATTTCATATTCCATTCTGAAACTATAGGGTCACAAAACAAAATAAAAGGCAGAAATAACAAAATTAAAGATGTATCAAGTGAGAGTATAAAGAGGGACATAATCCAAAGAATAGAAAAAGAAAGGAATAGAGTTGTCAAAAGTAGTGTTAAGTGATTAGGTATTTAGCCTAGTGGTAAAGATTCCTGCAAACTGCAGTCCCAGCTCTGGCTCCTGACTCCAGCTTTCCACCAACGCAGACTCTGGGATGCAGCAGTGATGGTTCAAATAACAGGGCTCCTGCCATCCATGTGGGAGACCTAAATTGCATTTCTGGCTCCCAGCACTGGTCCGGCCCAGCCCTGGCCTTTGTATGCATTTGGGAATGAAGCAGAAGGTAGAATTTCTCTCTTTTTCTCTCCTCTGTGTGGGAAGGAGGGGTCCCTCTCTCATTCTCTCTACTCTCAAATTAAAAAACAGAGTTGACAATAAAAGGGAAAGGCTTGTGTTTGTCCTCCTTCATAAAATTTATCATATTTAATCTTGGACCACCCATGCTGAAAAATAAAAGCCTTTTCTGACTTCCCCTCCTTGAAAGAACTGAATTGAGACTTGCCTTTCATGATATTGGTGCAAATTTCATAAATATATGTTTTCATTTAAGAAAAAAAAGTAGGTCTAAAAATACCAATTAATAAACTTATACTAACAGATCAATAAAAAGCATGACCCAACTAAATGCTATCTATAAGAACTTACCTCAAATATTTTTATATAGACAACTTTAATTGTACTTCAATCCCCTCAAGATAGTTTTTTTAGCATAAAAAGAATAGTCTTAACATATTTCATAGATAAAATTCTAAGAAAACTGTAGTTCCCTACCTCTTTTCCTTCCTCCCTCCCTGAATCCAATCCCCATCCTGTCTTTTTTCCTTTAATTATTACAATAACATACTAACAATAACAAATATGATATATAAGCTGAGACAACATTATTTTTTAAAACAGCAGCAAAGGTATCAGTATCAATATAATATAAAATAGGGCTCAGTGCAAAGAAAATTACTAATGACAAAGATAACAATATACATCAATGCATCAAGAAGACAGAAATCTTAAATATGCATGCACATAAAAGTGCTTAAAATACATAAGAAAAAATCTTATAGAGCTGAAAACAGTAAACATAAACATTCACAATTATAGTTAATAAATTTAATACCCATACTCAGCATTTGATAGAACTACTAGATGGAACATGAAAGACATGAAAGAATTAGCCATGCAGATATCTAAGAGGAAATATTTCAACCAAAGGAGACCACAAGTAAACCAAACTGGGTAGAAAGACGTTGGGAAAAACAATAAAGCCTGTATAACTGGAGAAGAATGGAAAAGACACAAAGAGAATCTACCACACAGCTATGAGGAAATAGGTTTTCTAAGCCCTTCTTGCAAGAGACGCAATGACCAGCTTTGGCTCAAGCAACTTAGGGAGCATTTGGTAGCTCCTAGCACAGGGGTCTGACAGTTTAAAAGGCTCCTTCTGGTTGCTCTATTGAGAACAGTCTAGGAGGCAAAGGTGAAAGCAGAGAGAGCAATCAGAGAGATGACAGTAACTTGGAACACAAGGAGCCTTACAAAGGCAGGTAAAAGTACAAAATTCTTGTAACACACTAGTAGATTGTTATGCCACCACAGTTCATTTCCTACTAGAGGTCTTGGTGGTATCTAGAAGAATTAGAGAAATGAGAGTGGGGAGAAAAATTGTATTTCTTATTTAAAAATTCTACAATTAACCTATCTTCTTGTTTTGATTTTTCAGGAATAGCTCACATACCCACTGGTATGTTTCTTTTTTATTTTTTAAGATTTATTTATTTTAAAAGTGGACAGAGAAAGAGAAAGGGAGAGAGATTGAGATCTTCTGTCTATTGATTAAGTCTCCAAATTTACACAATAGCCAGGACTGGCCCCAGAACAAAATCAGAAACCAGGCACTCCATCCAAGTTTCCTGCAAAAGTGGAAAAAAAAAAAAAAAACACCAAGTACTTAGGCCATCTTCTGCTACCATCTTCAGTGCGTTAGTAGGAAGCTGTATCAGAAGCAGAGGAGCCCAGTGTTAAGAATCAGCATTCTGATATGAGTTGCAGGCATCCTATGCAGCGGCTTAACCCACTGTGCCACAATGCACACTCTCTAAGGTTTTTACCTGTTTCTAGTACTTTAGTTTCCTCTAAGGGCTGGAGGGAGGGGAAGAGGAGGACAAACATTTTCTATAAAGGCTAGATAATAAATATTTTAGATTTTACAAGCCATAAAGTCTCTGTCACAAGTACTTAAATCTGTTGTAGTACAAAAGCAATCATTGGCAATACATACAAGAATAAGCATGTTTTTGTCCCAATAAAACACTCTTTGTAGACTTCTTGAAATTTGAATTTATGTAATTTCAGTGTGTCACTAAGTATTATGACTGCTGTTTTCAACCATTTAGAAATGTAAAATCCATTCTTACCTCAAAAAGCTAAAACAGGCAGCAAACTAGATTTGTCCCATAGGCTATAATTTGCCAACCCCTGCCATAGAGTTTACATAACTACATTTTCATCTCTGGTTATCGTATTGTCTCTCTCACAATTTCATGTTTTCCTATTATTTGTGCTTTTTGTACTAAATATATCAAGGAAATCATCCTGAGAGATATATCTTTATTTCAGTACCATAAATACTTCACAACAAACATCATTAGTAAATAGTGCTAGCATGTATCTTCAAAACAAGACCATAATGCATCTATATTTTGCAAACTGTAGTCTTAAAACCATGGGCAAAACTGATAAGGATTAATGAAAAGTAAAGTTCATTTAATTTTCTTATCACAAGTTCTTTCCAAACTAAAACAAACCAAATAGTCAAGAAATAGGGAAGGGAAATGAAGGCTTCTCACTTTTAAATAAACAGAATTTAGTTGTTAATGGCTAGTCCATCCAAAGTAGAGGCTTGGGAATTGAAAGGAGGGGAACCCCAATATCTACTAATGCGTTCATCTTTGCTTCCTTCAGTGGACAGTTCTGGAAAAATCAGTAAGTTCATATCATTTGCTTTCTTACCAATCTCTGATCTAGAACCTATGGGTTTTGTTCCCATATTGCTTACATGACAAGGTCTTCTACCTCAGAGTAGGCGTTGTTCCTTAAGTCAGTGGTTCCCTTGATTTTCAATTTTATTTATTCTTACCTATTTTACTTTTGCAAGAAAATTTGATAGCCTTGTATTGGAGTCTAATTATCTATTACCAAAATTATTGATTGCATGTATTTCCATTTAGTCTATCACAACAGAGCCTATTTTCTCTGTGCTATACTCTGGCAGATAATGATTGTTGATTAAAAAAAATCTCCTAAAATAGATATAAAATAGACGTACAGACAAATGATGATATTGATAACTGACGAACAATATACATTTTCCAAACTGATCATGATAGTGGATAACAAACTGACTTACGAAAGAACAAAACTATATGGTTTGGATTTGTTGGGACTGATATTAGTTACCCAAGGATTCAATGGCACCAGCTAAATGACATCCCAAATATAACAGTCTCTGTGGAAGGGGATATAGAGTTTTGGTGAGCAGTACTCCTGATGACGAAGCAGAAAGTTTTATACTCTCTAGAGGTCCTGTTTCTGCATTGACTTAGAAAATATATCATGGGAAAGTAAGTTCTCCATAAGTTAAAGAATCCCTACTGATCTTTCTTTTGGGTTTTGTTTTTAGCACTTTCTCCTATGGGTAAGTTCCTTATCTATCTTCAACTCTGATATTTCACATTGCTTCTATTTTATTTTCTGGCCTGGCTATTTTTATCCCAAATTAGAGAATTCTTCTTCAAAGGTTACTTAAATGTCTCTATTATCTGTCAGTATTTTAAATAACTACTTTCAGAAGGATTGCTGCTAAAAATCCTCATGATTCCAGCAAAATATAATGAAAGAAAGATTGATTTCTGAGTTTTATTAATTCTTTGCTGAGAATTAAAAACTTTTTTGTTATAGCAATAGTAAGAAGTTGATACAGTGTGAGAACATCACTTATATACAATCTTTACATGGCTGTTAAGTGTTTTATTTATTTATTTATTTATTTATTTTATTTATTTATTTATTTATTTATTTTTGACTGACAGAGTTAGACAGTGAGAGAGAGAGAGAGAAAGGTCTTCCTTCCGCTGGTTCACCCCCCAAATGGCCGCTACGGCCAGTGCGCTGCGCCAATCTGAAGCCAGGGGTCTGGTGCTTCCTCCTGTTCTCCCACGCAGGTGCAGGGCCCAAGCACTTGGGCCATCCTCCACTGCCTTCCCAGGCCACAGCAGAGAGCTGGACTGGAAGAGAAGCAACCGGGACAGAACTGGTGCCCCAACCAGGACTAGAAACCGGGGTGCCAGTGCTGCAGGCGGAGGATCAGCCTAGTGAACCACGGCACCGGCCTGTTAAGTGTTTTTAAAGCTAGATAAATAAAAAAGAATATTGACAACCTAAAAATATAAGTAAAAAAAATTAAAAATAAAAGAAAGAAAACTCTTTTTTAGTTGTAAGTAAAGGCCACCTGAGTATTTATTAATAGAAAATAAGACTATTTAAGAACAAAATTTCATCTACTTGCTGTCATCTTCTAAATACCTTAGTTTTGAGGAACAGTAAGTATTAAGCACCTGCTACACACTGTGTACTTTCAGAAGCAGTAGCTCCCTCTCTTGCCTGCTAGTTGTTACTATCTCCTTCTTTACAGATCAGGAAAGTCACTCAGATATTTTCCTGAAATTGGAAAACAGCCATGTCAGGATTTAAATCTAGGTCTCTAAAGTACATACTCTTTCCACAAATGCCTTTTTAATGATTAGTCACGAAAACATATATATTAATCAAATGTTTATAAATAAAAAAATACATGTACTACAGAGTTGAATAATTAAATGCACACAAAAGTTCCTTTTAAAAATAGGAGACTTCCCATTTAATATTTTAAATTTAGTGTGACACATTTCAAGCATTCTAAACACCAACAGATATAAAATGTTTTTATATATAATTTTAACTTTATTCTTTATATATAATTTATATATAATAACTTTATATATAATTTAACTTTATTCTTTCAAGAAACAATATGCATTCAAGCAGTCATTATGTGCCAACATTCTGCAAATACCCACCCCACTTAGAGAAGATGGTAGGAATGTGACCTAATAGGTTTTCCTTACAAAAAGAGGGATATCTGTGATAGTTAAATTTATGTGTCAACTTAAGTCAGAAGAACTCTCAAAAATACAAAGGCTCTAAGAACAGGTAGCAGGCTGTCTCTTCCAGGATGTAAATTGGTTTTTAGTGAATTTTTATGTTTATTTATTTATATAGTTAGTGTTTTGTTAAGGATATTTGCATCTATTCTCATTGGGGATACTTGTCTATTTTTCTTTGTTGCATCTTTTTCTGGTTTTGGAATTAAGGTGATATCGGCCTCATAGAAGGAGTTTGGGAGAATTCCCTCCTTTTCAACTGTCTTGAATAGTTTAAGAAGAATTGGGATTAGTTCTTTAAAAGTTTGCTTGAATTCAGCAGTAAAGCCATCTGTACTGGGCTTTTGTTGTTGTTATTGTTGGGTCTTTAATACTAATTACATCTTCATTTTGGTTATTGGTCTATTCAGGTTTTCTATGTCTTGATGTGTCAGTGTGGTAAATTGTATGTGTCTAGAAATCTATTTCTTTCTATTTCTTCTATATTTTCCAATTTGTTGGCACATAGCTATTTGTAGTAATCCCTGACGACTCTATTTCTGTGGTATCTGTTGTAACATCTCTTTTTTTCATATCTGATTTTAACTTGGGCCTTCTCCCTTTTCTTTTTTGGTTAGTTGGGCCAAAGGTTTACCAATTTTGTTTATATTTTCATGAAAACAACTTTTCATTTCACTGGTCTTTTGTATTTTTTATTTGTTTTTTTATTTATTTTATTTTATTTTATTTTATTTTTTATTTTTTTGGTTTCAAACATTTATTTAATGAATATAAATTTCCAAAGTACAGCTTAGGATTACAATGGCTTCCCCCCCCTCATAACGTCCCTCCCACCCACAACCCTCCCCTTTCCCACTCCCTCTCCCCTTCCATTCACATCAAGATTCATTTTCGTTTCTCTTTATATACAGAAGATCAGTTTAGCATATATTAAGTAAAGATTTCAGCAGTTTGCTCCCACACAGAAACATAAAGTGAAAAATACTGTTTGAGTACTAGTTATAGCATTGAATCTCAATGTACAGCACACTAAGGACAAAGATCCTACATGAGGAGTAAGTGCACAGTGACTCCTGTTGTTGACTTAACAAATTGACACTCCTGTTTATGGCAACAGTAATCACTCTAGGCTCTTCTCCTGAGCTGCCAAGGCTATGGAAGCCCCCTGAGTTCACTGACTCTGATAATATTTAGTCAGGGCCATGGTCAAAGTGGAAGTTCTCTCCTCCCTTCATGTCTTTGAAATTTGGAATACAAGGATAGAAGTAAGAAAAAGCACAGAAGATGTAGAGAAGGAAATGTGAAAAATGCAGGATGATATTTGAAGCATAATGAGAGAAGACACAGAAGAAAAAAATAAAGGATTTCCTATTTTCTTCTCTTGCAGACTGGAGGAAAGCAGCATTATATCCTGGTAAGTGACACGGTTTCCAATAATAACCTATTACTGAAGATATTATACATGGACATCTTCAATGTACAAAACATCATGAAGGAAACGAAATCCAAAGCCTATCTCCCATAAAAATGACATAATACTACAACATTTTAACACATTGGGATGAGTATTTTGACACAGAAGTTAAGCTACTGATCAGGACACCTGTATCTGATACTGCAGTGCTGATGAGTTCAAGTTCCTCTGCTTCCAATCCCGCTTCCTACTAATGCACCTGGGAAGGGAGCAGATGATGGTCCAAGTACTTGGTTCTCTACGACCGCATGGAGACTTGAATGGAGTTCTGGGCTCCTGGCTTTAGGCTAGCCCATTCTTACTCATTGCAGTAGATGAAAGAGCTCTCATTCTCTCTGTTTCTCTCCTCAACCCTCCATCACTTTATTGTTCAAATATACTTAGAATTTTAACATATGATATTGAAACATTAAATTTTAATCTTTGTTTTTTTAAAATTTTAATCTTTGTAAATCTGTGTATCACCTTATATTTTGAGGGAAGGTAGAATGGTAATTATGTATTAAAACTTAAAGAAACAAAGCAAAATGTAAGTTGTTGAGTCAAGTTCACCATATTCCCTATTTCCTCTCCAACATCTAAATAGATGAAAGACTGTTATCTTGTAGAATTTTTGAAGGATGAAAGCATTGGCATGGGTCAGGTCTTCAAGTCAAACATAATTTGGGAGTCTATAAAATGAAAGACAAGGACATAAAGGAGAATTTTCTTTATTTGCTCTTATATTTAACTAATCATAAATTGATATTCTGAATGATACTCATAAATTGATACTCGAGTGGCCAGGCAAATGTCTTTCTCAGATGGTGGTTCTCATGTTGATATATTTCTTGCAGATTGGAGGAAAGAAGAGTTCCAGGCTGGTGAGTCTATGATGGTGTAGAAGGGACCATGTTCTTTGTGTGTGGTCTCACACAAAATGGACAGAAGTTAGCAGAATCACCTAGGTCCAGAGAAGCTCTCACAAAATCATTTCTCTGGGGTCAGCACCCTGGCTCACTTTGTTAATCCTCCACCTGAGGATTAAGCATCCCATATGGGCGCAGGTTCTAGTCCAGGTTGCTCCTCCTCCAGTCCAGCTCTCTGCTGTGGCCCAGGAAGGCAGTGGAAGATGTCCCGATTGCTTGGGCACCTGCATCCATGTAGGAGACCGGAGGAGGTATCTGGCTCCTGGCTTTGGATCAACGCAGTGCCAGCCCTACTGGCCAGTTGGGGAGTGAACCAATGGAAGGAAGACCTTTCTCTCTGTCTCTCTCTCTCTCACTGTCTATAACTCTACCTGTCAAATAAATTTTAAAAATAATTAATTAATTAAAAAATAGCTTCTCTGTTCCAGGAATATTGGGATCTTCCCTAGAGAGATGATAGTCCTCTTGTCTTTGCAGTACACATGACCCTGGATGAAGACACTGCCCATCCTGCCCTCTTACTGTCTGAACAGAGACGTGTAACCTGGCATGAAGAGAGGCAAGATCTCCCTGACTGCCCACAGAGATTTGATTCCCTTCCCTGTGGGCTGGGTCAGCTGAATATCACCTCTGGGAGATACTACTGGGAAGTAGATGTTGGGGACACAGTTTCCTGTGATCTAGGAATCTGTAGGGACAATGTAACAAGGAAGGGGAGAGTAACAATATCCCCACAAAATGGTTTCTGGCCATCAGGCTTTATGAGGGGGAGTACTGGGCTCTCACTTCCCCAGAAACTCATCTTACTCTGAGGGAGTCCCCCTGTAGGGTGGGGATATTCCTGGATTATGAAGATGGAGACGTGTCATTCTATAATATGACAGATGGATCCCATATTTACACCTTTACCTGGATTTTGTTCCAAGGGTCCTTAAGACCTTTTTTCAGGCTTTGGAACTCTGACTCAGGCACCTTGACCATTGTCCACTGAAGGAGAGTAGAGTAATGCTGTAATTCAGAAGTGCACCCCATTTCACAAAATAATGACTTTGAGTCCCAATGTTGATTGCCATTCCAGCTAACTATTGTGAAATTGCATTTTTCTTTCTCTTTACTGGTTCATTGTCAAAATGAAGCTGTGGGGCACAGATTTCTGATTGGTCCTTACTACTAATTTTCCTCAACCTTAATAATTGACTTCCTGACCTATGATAGTCCAGTTTAAACATTAGATTTCCTAGTCTTCTTTGCTGCATGTGACTAGATGATGGCTGGTATAACACATGCTGAATTATGTAGTCTGACTTATGAGACTTGTACTAAAGGGAAATTATATGTCTTTGTTATTTACTGTTTCTGTTTAATAGATATGACATTAAGGATGTAACTTGATGAATATTTTTGAGAATGTAATAAGACATGGATAACATAAAAGACATAATTAGTTTAAATTTCTGACAACTTATTGTTACTACTCTTGTTTAACACCAGATATCTTTTCTTTGGAAAATAAACCTTATATCTTTAAGCCATTTGTATATTCTTTGTGTTTCTTATGATGACAGCTAATCCTACTTCATGCACACTCCTTTTCAGCATGGCGGCAGACACCTTCAGTTGAATATTCAGGTGAAATAGGAGGCTTAATGTACTGACCTGCAAACAGAGCTCTTTCTACTCATCCAGTCTTCAGTTTCATCAGACTCATTTTTCCTGGTCTGTCAGTCTCTCCTGACTTCAATTACCACCCTTTCCTACTTAAAATATGAATGCATAATAACTTCAAGTATTCCCCTACTAGTAAATGAAAGCCCTGCCCTTCTTATCCTTCTGTGACATCATCTTAGCAAGACCCTAAATATGGGGTTGCTCATACTAGCAGCTTAACATGTTATAAAAATTCAAACAAGTGAACACACTGGTACCTTATATACTTTTTGTACCTTTCACAACCTGGATGCCAACACTATTTTCCATGCTTTTTCCAGCCATCTACATTTCCTTGGATTTATCCATCAGCCTTTAAAATAATCCACTTATTTAAACTTTCAATTCTTTCAGTTCTATTCTCAATAAAGTACTGTGTTACCACTTAGAAAATCAAAGAGAACTGTCTCATCTTTATAACAACAAATAAAACAATTCTATCTAAATCAGGATGTCTCTATTACCCCTCCTTCTCAGGTTTATTAATACAAACAACATCTTCCTGTTTAGGGAACATCTATTCTCTCCATCAATCCTACACTGACCTACCTTGTATGGGGAACTATCAGTTATTTCACCTAGCTTTCCTACTTAGTCCTTATAATTAATGTAAAAATCTCAAACACTGTTCATATTAAAATTGCAAGAATAAAATTCTCCATGAACTGTGTATCCTCCTGTATATGCATCTTTTTCCTTATATAATCAAAATTCTCAAAATAATTATCTGCAGCATAGAGGGCAAATCCAAAAGAATAACAAACACATGAATATCACAGAGATTTTCCCCTATTTTCCTTCTAGTAGCTCTGCAGTACCATATTTTTTTCAAAGATTCATCTATTTATTTGAAAGGCAAAATTACAGATAGAGAGGGAGAAACAAAAACATCTGTCCACTGCTGCTTCACTCCCCAAATGATTGCAATGGCCAGGAGCTAGGCTGATCCAAAGCCAGGAGCCAGGAGCTTCTTCCAGGTGCCTCAAGGGGTCCAAAACTTTGGCCATCTTCCACTGCTTTCCCAGGACATAGCACAGAGTTGGATTGGAAAAGGAGCACCACAACTGATGCCCATATGGAGGTCTCAGCACTACAGGTTGAGGCTTAGCCTACTGCACCACAGCACTGGCCCCAAGAGTTTCACATTTTACATTCAACCTTTTAACACCTTTTTAATTAAATTTTCTGTGAGGTGAGGGCCTAATTCCATTCTTATGCATTTTCTCGGCCATTTGAAATGATGAAGTGTCCTACCTTATTAGGGAGCAGGGCCAATAATGCATAGCTTTTCATCTTCCAGAAGTCACAAAACAAGTCTCAATAAATTTAAAACAGCAGAAGTCATATCTAGTATCATTTCTGAACACACTGCAATAAACCAGAAAAAAAAATAACTACAGAAGGATTGGAATCCACACAAATACATAGAACTCCTGAACAAACAATGGATTCAGCTACACACAATCAGAAATGAAAATGGAGACATTATGACTGACACCACAGAAATACAAAAGATTGTAGGACAAATTTGATTACCTAAAAATGGACAAATTCTTAAGCATATATAATTAATTTAGCAATATATAATCATGAACAGGATGTCTGAGCAGATCAATAAAGAGTAGAAATATTGAATTAATAATAAAAATCAGCCATCAAAGAAAAGCCCAGAACCAGATGGCTTCAGTGCTGAATCATACTAAACATTTAAAAGACAATTAACAAAAATCTCCTTAAACTATTTCAAAAAGTAGAAGAAGAGGAAAGGGACATTATTTTCTTACAACTCCATCTATGAAAAATATTAAATCTGTTCTCTCTATATTAATATCATAAAAATAAAATTAAAAAAGCAACCCCATTCCCAATAACTACAAAAAAAATTCCTGGGAATAAATTTAACCAAGTAAGTGAAGGTCTCTACAAATGAAAACTAAATCACTGGTGAAAACACTGAAGAGGGCATAAAAAACAGGAAAGCATGACTATTGCCAAAGTCGATTTGCAGATTTAATACAATCCTTAATAGGATTCCAATGACATTTTTCAAAGAACTAGAAAAAAAAACAGTGTTAAAATCTGTATGGAATCACAAAAGACCCAAAAAGCCAAGGTAAGAGTGAGCAAAGAGAAAAGGCATAAGGACTTCTAAGCCTTGTGCTTGCTTAAAAGCCTCTGAAACAGACACTGTGCTGGACAGGAGAGATGCAAAGGTGTTCCAAGGAATCAAGGAGTTTTTAACAAAAACTCCAACATTAGAAATTCCTGAGCAAGCCATTCATAAGAAGATCCTCTTCAGATCAGTTTCAGCTTAAATAAAAGGGACCTGACCAGGTGCTAGTGAACACGACTACTTCCGTGAAATCAGAACTAAACTTCTACCTCTTAAGTCTTCACAGATGAATGCGAAAGACATTCCTGACTGTTCCTATAAGCCAATCAGAAACCTTAGAACTCGACTTCTGGGAGTAACTGACTACGCAGGGACACAGACCTTGGCAATGACCGAGACTGCTCCAACCCACAAAGCAAATTTGTTAGACAGGACATACAGAGACTTACAGACACTGGATAGGCAGGGCCTGCACTACACCCCTCATGAACAGGAAGCAGTTACAGAAGATATGATTCAACAGCCATCAACTCCCCTTAGGATTAAGGGGATGGAGTCTCTGAGGGGGGAATGAATTAGGCAGGTGTACCCTAGTAGGCCAGATCTATGAGATGAGACCCTGAAAAATCCAGATGCTGAATGTTTTACTGATGGCAGCAGCTATATGAAGGAAGGAGTTAGAAAGGCAGATGACATATATACAGATTACAGATATGCTTTCCTTGTGTTACACGCACACACAGCATCTGCCAAGAGAGGGGCTTACTGACTGCAAAGAGTTCCCCTGTTAAATATGGAAAAGAGATACTGGCTCTACTTCAGGCAGTACTGGAGCCTTTAGAAGTAGCGGTCATCCACTGCGAGGGACATCAGAAAGGAGATAATTATGTTAACCAGAGAAATGAGATAGCAGATAGAGCAGCTACACAGGAGAGTTTGGAAATGGCCCTTATACATCAATCTGTGGAAGTAGCTAAGGAACCTCACTATACGGAGCCTGAAAATGAATGGACCCAACAGTGAGGCTATACTAAAAACACAAATGGATAGTGGATGCTAAATCACATTATGCTACCAATGGCCACTTAATAGAAAATTACACAACTCTACCCACTTGGGAAGAGATGCCTTAGTACAACTGGTCTCCTGAGCTTTTGGAGGAAAGGGACCAAATATGGTCATAAAGGAAATGACTCACTCTTGGCCTCTATGTTTACAGAATAACCCTCACCATTTAAGGCCACCTCCCCTGTTGACTCCTGTGCAGAGGAAGGGAACATAAGCAGGTGTAGATTGGCAGGTTGATTTTACCAGTATGCCTCCAACAAGCAATTATAGGTACCTTCTAGTCTTTATTGATACTTTTACAGGATGGATAGAGGCCTTTCTGACCCAAATGGAGAAAGCACATGAGGTGTTTAAAGCCGTGTTGAAAGACATCTTGCCATGCTTTGGACTCCCACGATCACTCCAGAGTGACAATGGACCTTCATTTATATCTAAAATGACCCAGCAGAACCCAGCAGCTTCTGAGAATAATGATGACCACGCAGGAAACACTGAGAATGCTGGTGACTGAAAGAGATCCAGCTCATAAAGTGAACTCATTAGATGAGATAGGCAGAGACTTCCAGACCGAGAACAGGCAGGGTCTGTGCCCCTAATCAGCAGGAAGCAGCTACAGATTAAGGTCTGGAGTCTCTGAGGGGGGAACGAAGTAGGCACGCATACAGGCTAAAATTGATTAGATTTGTGAACTGGAAGACCACGCCTTTGCTACTCCCCTGTGTGGCCTCATCCCCCTACCTGGCCACACCTGGGTGCCCACCAGCCAATCAGGTTAATTAACCACTCCCCTTTGGAAGTGGGTTAAAAGCCAGGCCACAGTGTGTCCGGCCCTCTCTTCTTCCCTGGCCTCTTGCTAGGAAGGGGCTTGCTGTAACCCTCTACCTCTAGGGTGCATGGCCTTCGGGCCATGTGCTCTAGGCTTCCTGGCCTAGATGCTCATCCATGTGCCTGGTTCCTGGTGCTCGGTATGAATCCCCATTCACTTCTCTCTCCTAAATAAAGCTCTCACTCTCTTATGCACCTTTCTTACTAAATAAAAGATTAAAATGTACCATGCTGCCTCGTTTATCTATGCCGGCATTTAGAATTCTTCTCTAAATATTAGGCAAGAACCCTCTCAGGCTTATTAATATCAGGGATTTAGTAATAAGCCCGTGGTGAAATCGTAAGGCACCCCAAATTCTGGTAGCACATGTGGCACCCCGGATAGCATTTCTAGGGAACTTTAAGGAGCCACATTTCAGGGTAAATTTTAGGGGGTCTTCTCCGATTTCAAGTTCAAGACCTTTATACTGGGTATGTTTCTCAGCAAGATTCAATTTATAACCTGCCATTCTTTAAAATGAAACATAGGTTGAAATCAGGAACTCTGAATTTGCATGTACTAGATTCCAAGTTTTATATAAATATACAGCTAAAGCCTTGTTAAATAGAGTCTCATTACAGGCTTGCAAGGCCTTAATTCTGCACATGGTAAATATCAGGACAGAACTTGTGTAGGTTCATGTGCCACTGTGTTCCTCATACACTTCTCCATAGTCTTCAAAAAATAAAGTGTGCATGAGACAAAAACGATGTTTGGTTTGAATATGATCTGCAATACTGACTACAAGTGCTGATCTGAAATAATTACAATTGGGATCTCTGATAAGCTAGGCCCACTTTCAACACTGTGACCCTCATCTTCAAGGTTAATATTAAACAAGCATGGGGAGATAAGCACAAGAAGTAATTAAAGCAGTCAACATCTAAAATGGCCATATTGTTCCCTAACTCCAAGAGTTTGTACCTTTGTGTGGTATCCTTCCATATTATGCCAAGGTTGGTCTTTTATTCCAAGATTGAGTAATAAAAGACATTGAGCTCTGTGATACTGTGAAATTTGCATTTGGTATTTGCATCTCATTTTCTGGGATCATGGCTCTGGAATGATGTGAATGTCTTTGGTGTGTTAATGAGATAACTAGAGCCTAAGGGCACCTAGCTGGCTTCAGAATGGGAGCAGGTCATCTGAAAAACTAAGGTATTATTAGAGCATTGGGATGTTCAGCCATATCTCCCAACCTTCAGGGAAGGGAGATGGGATAATGATTGAGTCTATCACCAAAAAAAATTGTGTTTTGAGAGTTTCTAAACAGCTGGACAAGTGGAAGTTTCTGGAAGGCAGCACTACTGGAAAGCATGTACAAACTCCATACCCCCTCACATACTTTGCCCTATGTATCTCTTCCATCTGGCTATCCAGTACCCTTTGTAATGGCCTTTATAATAAATACTAAACAAATTCTCTGACACACTCTGGTAAGTTAGTTAAACCCAAGGAAGTGATCATGCGGAGCTCAGATTTACAGCTGATGCATCAGTAATGTTAACAACTTGCTACTTGAGACTGCCATCTGAAATAGAGGCAGTCATGGATCTGAGCCCTCCACTTGTATAATATGACATCATCTTTAGGTAGACAGTACCAGAATTGACACCCAGTTGTTATCTACTGGATAATTGCTTGAAGTGTGGGAAAACATCCCCATACATCCAGTTTTAGAAGTGTTAAATGCAGAGATACACAAAGCACACACTTCCCACCCTGGTTTCTCTTTTGTCACCCTCTCAGTTTCTTTCTTGCAACAGTCACTGCAGAAAGCAAGCCACCACTCATGAGCAGCCCTCTGAGGAAGCCTCCATGGCAAGGAACTCAGGCCTCTTAACAACTACATGAGTAAAACATCTTGGAAGCACATCTTCCATCCTTCATCAGTCCTTTGGATGACAGACACCAGAGCTGATCCTTAACAGCAGTCTTGTGAAACTTTAAATCAGAACCACTCAGCTAAACAGCCTTAGATATGTTACCACATTAGTTTTGTGATGTTTGTCACCTTCAGCTGCTGAATTTTACAATAGTGTGTTATGCAGCAATAAGTACAGCCCATATTGACAGAGAGATTTTTTGTGATGAATGAAATCAACATCTAAGCAAACACTTGTAAAGCAGTGACTGGAGAGTTTTTACAAAGTATATGCAACTAAAACTATGTACTGCCTGTGAATGTGTAAATTACATGTAGTTATTGCCATTACCCTCTAGCAAAAGCTGAGGCAATTATTCCACCCCATGTATTAACTATTTATCTTATTTTCTGTATTCTGATGCTTTGACAGATGGGGCTTTTATGACCTTGGAGGGATTGCCCTTCCCAGAGTTAAACAACTAGCAGGAATAGTAAACAATTTTCCATAAAATATGCTTTCCAAATAAAAACCAACAGTCTAAAACCACACCTTGTATGGGCCCTGCACCTACTGAAATACTATCTACCTGGCCGGTGCGACAGCTCACTAGGCTAATCCTCCATCTGCGGCACTGGCACCCCGGGTTCTAGTCCTGATTGGGGCACCGGATTCTGTCCCGGTTGCTCCTCTTCCAGTCCAGCTCTCTGCCGTGGCCTGGGAAGGCAGTGGAGGATGGCCCAACTCCTTGGCCACTGCACCCGCATGGAAGACCAAGAGGAAGCACCTGGCTCCTGGCTTTGGATCGGCGCATCGCACAGGCCGTAGCGACCATTTTGGGGGTAAACCAACGGAAGGAAGACCTTTCTCTGTGTCTCTCTCTCACTGTCTAACTCTGCCTGTCAAAAATAAATAAATATATAAATAAAAAAAAGAAATACTATCTATCTGTCCCAATCACCGCAGACCAAAAAATCAGACAAGCAGAGATAATCCCTGTGTCCAAAATGGGCTGAATATTTTCAAACTCGTTAACTCAAAGCCTGTTTATTTACCTTACTCATTCGTTCTCATGGGCTCTCGCCCACGGTCCCTCTTCCCTCTGCCTCATGATCATACCCTGCACTTACCCATGTAGCCTTCCTAAAGCATGGGCTGCACTCTCCTCTGGAAACTGCTAACAACATGCTATACTTTCTTTTATTTCCTAAGCTCAATTTACCTATGATTGATAAATACAAATAATACAAGCTGCAAATAGTTAGAATGTATAAAATGGTGTCTTAACATTTTACACACACACACACACACATTGTGAAATAATTGCCACAATCAACATAATTAACATATTCATTACTTCATATACTT